GATGGGGAGACACCTCTTATCAACAAGGGTGCCTGAACGAAGCATATCTGTATACCTAACCCTTAACTGTACCCCACAATATCATAAAAAATACTGATTAAAAATACAGTGTCTATTGACCACCACCTACTATGTGCTAACCATTGAACACCACCTACTATGTGCCAACCTCCTGTCCTGCACACTCAGTCTCTGCCTTCACAAAGCTCCCATCTGGCAGACGACATAGACACTAACTAAATATATACAAAATATGCTCAGTGCTACCCAAGGGAAAATACAGGTTGCTAGGAAAGCCCAACGTGGGGAGCTAACCTCACTGTGGAAAGCTTCTCTGACAAAGAGAGGTGTGCAGCAGGACCTGGAGGAACACTGAAATCAAACATAGAAATCAAACATAGAAGGGAAGTGTCCCAGGTAGAGGGCCAGGGGATAGGGAAAAAGCAGCTGGTTCTGGTCAGGAGGAATCCGGGAAAAATTGCTACAGCTGTGGTAATGAGAGGTGGTGACCAGAAAATGTTTGGTCTGATTCCTGACTCTGGAGGGGAACGGTCTGGGCCAGTGGAGATGGACTCTGGGAACCATAGTGCCTGAAGCGAGTGGAGGATGTATCTTCCAAGAGGAAGAGGTCAAAGAATGGAGAGGACCAATGTGGGGACTATCACCTGTGGGGTGGTCATGGGCCCCCAGAAGAAAGGTAGCTAGTATGGAAGAAATCAAAAATAAAGGAAATGGACTCAATTGCCCTGCTCTGAGATTCAAGAGCTTGGAAGAATGAAACATGAGAGGCTACAGGCAGGCAGAGTCCTCACACATGCAAGGCTTGGCGCAGCACTGCCTGTGCATGGACACCCTTTTTGCTGCAAATTCCCTGAGCTTTCTATCAAGGCCTGGCACAGAAATCCAGAGTACACCTGGATACAAGATGGCTTCTCCTTGATGCTTGGGGCCCTCCCCACCGACACTTCTCACCTGGCTCTGGTATGCGCAGCTCTGTACTGCTAGGCACTCTTCCCTAGCTTACCTGTGAGCCCCTAAGCACTGGGACTGTATTTTTTACTGCTATACATCATAATTAGCACATGTTCAGTACATATTTATTGATGGAGATTAGTTTAAATTTAGTAAAGTGAATATTATGCAACAGGGATTATAATTATTCAAATCGACACCCATTTACTAGCACCTATTATATACTCTGAGACAAAGACTGCCAATGCTAATAATCTCAAAAGTCCTTCAAGGTATCTGATTCAACCCCTAAAGTCTATATTTACCATCTTATCTTAGATGGCAGTGTTGTGAGAATAAAAGATCACCAAGTCCAAAGTATCCAAACCAGGCAGAATAACACATCACCTAGAGAGTTTGTAAAAATATAGATTCTTTTTTCTTTTTTTTGAGTTGGAGTCTCACTCTGTCGCCCAGACTGCCGCAGCCTCGACCTGCTGGGCTTCAGTGATCCTTCCGCCTCAGCCTTCCAAGTAGCTGGAACTACAGGCGCGTGCTACCACGCCCGGCTAATTTTTAAAAATTTATTTATTGTAGAGATGAGGTCTCGCCAAGTTGCCCTGGTGGGTCTCGAACCCGCGGACTCAGGCAATCCACTCACCTCAGCCTCCCAAGGTGCGAGATTACAGGCTGAGCCACCCAGCCTGGCTAAAAAATATAGATTCTTAGGTCCCACTAGTAAGAACCCTGGTTTTGGATCTTGGAATTTATAGCTTTTTATAAGATCCCTGGATGACTCAGGGGGCAGCAGGTCCACCGCCTAGCATCTAAGGGCCATTGGTAGTTCCTCGTCTCCTCTGCAACCACCCTGCTTAATGGTGCTCCAGACCAGACACTTCGCGTAAGAGAGGACTAATCACATTCCATTCTAGGTTAAGAGTACTCTGGATCAGCACAATTGAAGGTCTCTGATAAAGTTGGGCAGCAGACAGGTTTAGAGTACAGGATTCAAACACTGGCTTAGACTCT